AGAGCGGCAGCTCCGGAGCTCCAAGGCGAACCAGGACGCGTCGTGCCGTTGGATGCCCAGGAAATAGAGGAAAGCTGCACTGGTCGCTGAGCCCCAAGTCCTTAGCTGCTGAGGCACGTCGTCCCCCAGGACTGTTGCCGAGCAACGGAGCGCGGGCTCCCGCAGGGGCCGTTAAACAGCAGCTGGCACTGGCCCTGCGGCCGCCGTCCCCTCCGCCCGGGAGCAGGCGACACACCTCTTCAGGGGGCGCCCTGGGCTGCCGAGTGTCAGAAGATACCCAGGGCGCCACAGGTGTCGCCCGTAGACCCGACGGGAGCCCCGCTCCGCAGGAAGGAGCGCCAGCCCGGCGGGGAAGACAGGCTCTTCCCTCCCGTCTCCTTGGAGACTTCAGGCTCAGGGCGGTCGGTCTCCAGAGGACCCGCTGTCCCTTGTACGATGTAATAACTACTTTGACTTTACACTATATGTTGCTAGTAGTTTATTGAGCTTTGTATATTTGGACAGTTTCATATAGGGCTTAGAAATTTTAAGGACACAACAAATGAACTTTTATGTCCCATGTGAAGTGGTAGTGCGTGCCTTTTCCCCCCGATCATGCTTTAATTCTTTCTTTTCTGTAGAAACCAACAGTTTTCCACTTATGTCAATGCTAAATCCAAAGTCACTTCAGAGTTTGTTTTCCACCATGTGGGAATCAGCATTCTTAATTTCCTTTAAGTTTTGACTTGTAATGAAATGTTCAAGTATTACAGCAATATTCAAAGAACCACAGATTTAAGCAGATCATCTGCCAAACACGTGGTATTACAGTAAAACTTAATCAGCCCTTACAGTTCTATTCATCGAAGTCACTGAAAAATAGACACTACAGCTAGTTAACTGTATACCCAGAGGTAATGAGTACTCTGTCTTTTGGACAGTAATATCCAGGTATCACAAATTCAGTATTATTTGTAAGGATGATCATCTCTGTCCTCTAGAATGGCTTGTCCTATATCAGCAGATGAATGCGTTAAGCACAAAGCATCTTCCTTAAAGCACAAAGAAGAGAGATTCTACACTGATGCTGCATCTAGAAAACACCTTTAAGTTGCCTTTCCTTTTTGTAGTAAGTGTCTGGGCAGGTGCGGGAAGCATGGAGGGTCTAGGGAGTTCCATTTTGGCCACCCCGGCCCCGCCCCTTCCAGCGTTGGTAACTTGAGCAGTCCTTGCTGCTGGCCAGAGCCTGTCCGGTCTTCAGGGCCCTGTCCTGGTGCCAGGATGCGTCACAGAGGTGCTGCGCTTGGGGTAGGACTCCGGGCGCCAGCGGGAAAGGGCAGTGTGGGAACTGTCATTTTTGTGATTTAATAACATGCAGTGGAAAACCAGGAAAAATGAATTAAGTTCCTTCTGTGGGTTGTTTATTCTTCCTCATACTTAAGATTGATGATTCCATGAAATAAAGAGCATCATTTCATTTAAGAGATCATTTCATTAAGATCTCTAATCTGTTTTAAGTCTGCAAAATGAGCCAGTTATACAACAGGGCTTGATTTGCGTAGACCGAAGGAGGATGTTTTCCCACAATGTACTACAGAAGTGCTGTAATATTTATGAAATTAAAATGCCTTCCAGATTGCAAATGGGGGCCGCTCATTTCGAAACTGCAGGAATGGTAGTTGTAGACGGGCGTGGGCTACGTGAGCTGCTTGGCCCAGGAGACCTGGGAGCTATGGCAGCACAGCCAGGTCACCAGATGCGGGGAGCAGAGAGGCTGCTGGGAGGCTAAAGCCCCGGAGAGAAATCGGGAAGCCCCGCAGCGACCAGGCCTGTCAGGTGGACGCCCACCTGCTGGAACCGGGGCTGTAAGCGCCTGTTTGCTTGTCTCATTTACTGCAAGCAGAAATCAATCACTTCCAAAAGCATCTGTATTGCCCGAAGTGTAAGCTGGCGAGAGGGGACTGGTTCTGTGGGTCAGGCGGCGTTTGCTCGGCCCTGTCTGATCACCTCTTGCTCTGCTCCCCAACTAGTGGCCGGCGGAAGCCTCTAGGCAGAGTTCTCTTCACAAATACTGAACACTACGACGGCTCAGGCCCACTCCTTAGGAGAGGCTCCTTTGAAACACTGGCTGGCTTTCCAGGCTCTTTGCCGTGAGCAGTGTGTACACTACTGTATGATAAGCATTAGCTTTATGACCTTGCAAGCCAGCTCCTCTGAAGAGACTTTGGTGAGGTGATCGTGAGGTAAAAATTTCATTGGCAAAAAGTGCAATATGTATGGTACTTTATTTTTATGTTCTCTTTCTAATCCAGAGGTGTCAGTCTCTGCTTTGGGGAAAATGCACTCGTTCTGCAAGTTCCAGTTGGGCAAGTTTGTCTCTGGTATTTACATGCAGTTGATACGCTGGTCCCTGAAAGGCAAATAAAGCACGTTAGCACAACGGGGTGTGGGGGGGTGTCCCACGTTTACATTTCCAGTGAGCGACACGACCAGCCATCCCCAGCCGCCCCACCGCCGCCCTCGCCCTGACCGGCCCGCACTGCCCTCCGCCACCGGGGAACCGAGAGGGGGCAGGCCGTTCAATCCCGAGTCCACCCTCTCTAAAGTGGGACTCCAGGACGTCATGCAGACGTGAGCAAAAGCCCTTTTCTGTTTCCGCCTTTGCCCCCTAGGAAAGCGAGTGAGCGGCCCTCTCTTCCCTGGAGGCAAGGAACTCCAAGGGCTTAAGCTGTCCTGGAGTCAGTGAGGTGGGACTGAAGTCAGCCTCGCCTCTGCGCCTTCCCGACTCCCGGCCCAGGAATAATGGGGCTCTGTGCTCGGGCGGGAGGCAACCCTCTGCCCCCACCACCCCAGGAGACTCAAGGTCCCCGCAGAAGGGATGCGTCATGGGACTCACGACCGACACCACCCCCCCACCCCCCCGCGCACACACAGGGACCATCTCGAAGAATTCTGCCCAGGTGTTAGATGGGAGAGGAGTCAGTGATCACCCAGAAACTGAGGGGCGGCGAAAAGCAGCAGCGGCTAGTCACAGCCGGCCAAGGATCCCAGGGGAGGTGCAGGCAGCCCAGGAGGTGAGGACGCAGTGAGTGTTCCCTTCGCAGGGTCCCCCAGCTCCTGGTCAAGCCCCGGGTTCGTAACTGTCTCGGGGTCAGAGTCTCTACTGCGTTATATTTCAAAACCTGTACCAACAGGTACACTTCAGCTCCCTATTGGTTTAAAGACAATCCATGCTCCAGGTAACTTTTTCACATGCCACCCTCTTGAGAGGCAATACAGTGTCATTTGACGGCATCGGTGCCAGCGAGCAGTTGCTGGGTCCCTGTGCCGGCTGACCTTCGCTGCACTCCACCCCCACCCGGGCCCTCTCTGCTGCCTCCTCAGAAGCCACCTGAGCCGCTCGGTCTCTTTGTGCCTCGACATCAAAGGCAGAAACAGGAGAACAGGTCGTGAGCTGGAGTCACTGGACAGGCAGGGAGCTCTGGCCATCTTGTTGCTTCTGCAACTGTTTTATAGAACTTCTCTTCAGAGGGATGTGTGGGAGGCGAGAGCAGTATCGCCTGTCTCTAAACTGGACAAAGCAGCTTCTGGAAGCGTCTGTCTCCCTCCGACTGGCTCCGCAGTCGGTCCTCCCAGCCCGTGGTGCGCGGAAGGACTGGCTGCAGCCCTGCCTTGCCCCTGTGGGCGGCTGCGTGAACTCACAGCAGAGTCTGAGCTCCCAGGACTGCTCACACACTCACTTGACCGTTTTCTCGGGTTAAGGCAGCCTGGCTGATTCTAGAGGACTCAGGGCCATCCCAGCTGACCACCATCGTGTGTCCACATCCCTGGGTGGGTTTCAACACAGAGGACTCAGGCACACACTAGCGCACAACTTGGAAACCAAGCAGCAGCACGGCCCGCAGGCCGACCCAGGGACAGCTGCGACAAGTCCTGTCCTAAACTCATCCCGCCCGTCAACAGGGAGCGGCGGCTTACATTTGAGCCTTCGTTTACCGAGCACTTTCACAAGGGATCTCTTCCAAGCCTCATGACAATTCCATGACACTAGCTGGGGAGCTACTGTCCTTGTTGCACAGCTGAGGAAACCAAAGTTCTCGCAAGTTTGCGTGACTTTCCCAAGGTCACACAGCTGGTGAGCGGAGGAGATGGGACACCCTTTCGGGCGGACTGGCCTTTTTAAGTTTTTTTTTTTGAGTTGGAGTCTCACTCTGTCGCCCAGACTGGAGTGCAGTGGCCACTCCCGGTCCCCGCAGCCTCAACCTGCCGGGCTCCGGCGATCCTTCTGCCTCAGCCTTCCAAGTAGCTGGAACTATAGGCGCGCGCTACCACGCCCGGCTGATTTTTGATTTATTGTAGAGAGGAGGTCTCGCCAAGTTGCCCAGGCGGGTCTTGAACCCGCGGGCTCAAGCAATCCACTCACCTCAGCCTCCCAAGGCGCGGGATTACAGGCTGAGCCACCAAGCCCGGCAGGACTGACTGGACTTTCGTGCTGAGGGAAGCCCTCTTTCCCCTCCT